TGCTAGCCTTTAGCCTGATATTTCTTTGTCTAAAATATCTCACAGTAAATTACTTCAATAGATCTCTCTCACCAATCAACAATCTTAGTTGCACTCACCATTACACTGGATGATCTGGGAAATCTAATGTAATTTGTAACTTAATAGGAAAAAAAAGTCAAACAAATGGGACTACATCAAAATAAAAAGCTTCTGCACAGCAAAAGAAACCATCAAGAAAACAACAAGAAAGCCCACTGCATGGGAGAACATATTTGCCAATGTTATCTCCGATAAGGGTTTAATCTCCAACATTTACAGGAACTCATACAACTTAACAAATGGAAGATAAACAATCCAATATAATCAAAAAATTGGCAAAGGACCTAAATAGACACTGTTCGAAAGAGGGCATACGGAAGGCCAGGAGACATATGAAAACATGCTCAAAGTCACTAATCATCTGAGAGATGCAAATCAGAACAATAATGAGGTACCATCTCACACCTGTCAGAATGGCTATCATCAACAAATCAACAAACGACAAGTGCTGGCGAGGATGCGGAGAAAAAGAACTCTCTTACACTGCTGGTGGGAATGCAGAATGGTGCAGCCACTGTGGAAAACAGTATGGAGTTTCTTCAAAAAATTAAAAATGGAACTCCTCTTTGAACTAGTAACCCACTTCTAGGAATATATCCCAAGAAATCAGGAAACACCAATCAGAAAGAACATATGCACCCTTATGTTCATAGCAGCAGAATTTACAATAGCTAAGATTTGGAAACAGCCTAAAATGCCCTAAATGCCCATCAGCAGATGGGTAGATTAGAAAACAGTGGTACATTTACACAATGGAATACTATGCTGCTGTAAAAAAGAAGGAATTCTTCCCATTTGCAACAGCATGTATGGACCTGGAGAGCATTACGCTAAGTGAAATAAGCCAGTCGGAGAAAGATAAATAGCACATGATCTCTCTCATTTGTGGAATATAATAAACAACATAAACTGATGAACAAAAATAGATCCAGAACAGAGAAACACCGAACGGACTGTCAAACCTCAGAGGGAAGGCAGGGGAGAGTGTGTGTGGGGGGGAGAGAGGTGTAAGAGATCAACCAAAGGACGTGTATGCATGCACATTAGCATAACCAATGGACATGGACACTGGGGAGGTGGGGGCTTGTCCTGGGGAGGGGAGTGTACAGGGAGGGGTCGATGGGGAAAAAAGGAGACATATGTCATACTTTAAACAATAAAAAAAGAAGCAATAGTGACTGTAAAAAAAAGAATAGATTCATTTCTCAAAGAAAAAAGAAAAGAAAACAATTGTCTAGTGGATTTGTTTAGAAGCTACAGAGTTTACTGCAGTGGTAAAGGGGCCACAAGGCTTAGCACTCTTGCAGGGAGCAATGGGGGAAAGTGGTCATGTGTAATACTCTCAACAATAAAGATGAATAAAAAAGATTTAAAAAGAGCATGTGACTAGAGTCAGTCAGCTCTGGCTTAAAGCTCAGGGTCCCCACTTCTTATGATCTCTGAATTGAAATGTGCCATCTATGTGATTTTTTACTTTTACTGTGCTTCAGTTTCATTTATAAAATATATTTAATACTGGTACCTATTTTTAAGGATTTTTGTGAAAATTAATTGAACTAATGCAAATAAAGTGCTTAGTACAATTCTGGTTTTTTTTTCAACAAATTTTTAGTAACATGGTTGCTATGTATCAGGTACTGTTCTTGGTGCTGGGATACAGCCATAGACAAAATGGTTAATTCTGAGAACCAGTGAATTTTTGTAGTGAATAATAATTATAAAGTTGATAATGGTAAAACAATAATGATATTTAAAATCCTATATAATAAAAAGCTAATATGCAAATTGTCCCCACGGGTGGGAGTTCCACTGACCGGGAGTTAGACCACCAGGGGTGACACAGAACATGACAGGCATCAGTGCAGGACTGGAAGTGGGCAGCAGTGGAGGTGCTGCCAGGCCTGATGGGTCCTGACGAGAGCAGGACCACAGCAGGATGGTGGAGCAGGTGAGTGGGCGGTGCCAGGCCAAGGCAGGTGTGAGCGGGGGCCCCAATTGCCCTGCAAGTTACCCCACAGATTGGCCCTGATCACCAGCTAGGCCTAGGGACCCTACCTGTGCACGAATTTCGTGCACTGGGCCTCTAGTCCTATATAACAAAAGGGTAATATGCAAATTGACCCTAATGGCGGAACCACCAAGAATGACTGGTCGCTATGATGTGCACTGACTACCAGGGGGCAGACACTCAATTCAGGAGCTGTCCCCTTGTGGTCAGTGCACTCCCACAGGGGGAGCTCTGCTTGGCCACAAGCTGGGATGATGGCTGCGAGCGCAGTGGCGGTGGCAGGAGCCTCTCCCACCTCCTCAACAGCGCTAAGGATGTCAGACTGCAGCTTAGGCCCAATCCTATGGGGAGTGGGCCTAAGCCACAGTCAGACAGCCCCCATGGGTTCCAGACTGTGAGAGGGTGCAGGCTGGGCTGAGAGACGCCCCCCCCTGCCCCGAGTGCATGAATTTTCGTGCACCAGGCCTCTAGTTTATAATATAAATATTATGTTTTTGGCACTATACCAAGTGCTTTAGTTTTTTTCTTTTTAATTCTATTTGTTTATTCTTAAAGCTGTATCTCCAGTTTGTGGGGAAAAATATGCCAACATGCCCCGCCAGTGTGGCTCAGTGATTGAGCATTGACCTATGAATCAGGAGGTCACAGGTTTTATTCCCGGTCATGGCACATGCCCGGGTTGCGGGCTTAATGCCCAGTAAGGGGCATGTAGGAGGCAGCCAATCAATGATTCTCTCTCATGAGTGATGTTTCTATCTCTCCCTCTCCTTTCCTCTATGAAATCAATAAAAATAAAAAATAAAAATATGCCAACATAAATTTTTTAGGTTCTGAGTTTATGTTGATGATGATGGTTGGTCTGTCATTGTGCAGGGTGTTGGGAGAAAAGATCCCTTAGTTGTATTAAAACCCCTGCCTTAAGGAGACACTTGGAAGATAGTAAAATGTCTCACAGTGATCTGCAGAGTCAACAAAATTAATGACTTCTAATATATTCCTAGGGGTAAAAACATCAAGTGCTTTAGTTTTATCAATTCATTTAATTCCCGATGTGACAGGTACTGTTTTAGGCCCATTTTGTAGTTGATGAAATTGAGTCCTTAAAAGTTTAAGTAATTTTCTCAAGACAACATGCCTAATAAGTGGCAGAGGTCAAATAAATCCATGATCATAGCTATTGTACTGTACTACCTTACTATCATGATAAATTTATATATCATTGTTTTACCCCATAAAAAAAAGCATGGTAATGAAATGAATAAATATATAACCTAAACAAGTTTTACAGTATATAATACAATTGTTGATGCAAGAGTGGCCATTATAACAAATTTAAATAGAAACATAGGTTTGAACACAGTATAAAACTAATAATCAAGAGCTTGATGTTACCTGGATTTGTTTACACCAGGGGTTAAGTCTTAGAGCTCAAACATTATCTCTCTATATAGTAACAGTTAATAGAAGATAACCCATAAGATAAGAGTTTGTCTTATAATTGAATAAGAACATTTTAAAGAGCCTCTAATTTATTTAAACTTTTTAAATTACTCCTTGTATTGAATGATTCCATATGAAAGTCACGCTTATAATACAGTACTTTCTCATTCCCCTCCTCCATTCCTTCAGCATTATTTCTCATTATAGGTTATTAAAAACCAAATAAACACATGTTGGGTTATCCTGAAATGTCTGAGATAAAAGACACATTTTTATATGGTAAGGTAATATTATCCACATTTAATAGTAGCATTGTTTAAATAAATTCAGATTGTACAGTGAAAATATAAAAGACTTAATCATAAACATTAATAGAGGCTATGATCCTATGTTGTTGACATTATCAGTGGCTTCTCTACAAAATACATGTTTATTTACTAGCCATTCCCTATTCTATGAGTCCTTTAAACATTGATTTTGTGAACATTTTTATTATTCAAATTTTGAAAAAAAATCAGAATCAACCAAATTTAGTTTATTATTTATAATTATAGGAAAATCTAAATCACTTTTTGTCTACCTCTCAGAATCATATTCATTGTATCTTCCTGGGTCATTCTGCTTCAATTAGGAAATCGGGTTAAACCTGAAAAGAAGTTATTAGTGACATACCTGGATAGAAGTTTTTTCCTACCATGATATTCTATTCATTCTAGGAATAGTGCTTTCACAAAATACATGTTTCTTAAGTTAATTTACATTTTAGACTGCAGAACCACTGGAGCAAGGAAATTAATGTTCAGTCAAAACAAAATGCCATCTGGAAAAATCAATACCATTTGCTATCAAGTGAGGTTGACTTTAATCAGGGTGACTGAAGAACAATAATTATTTTTCTTAAAAGTAAAAAGTGTCTCACAACTGTTTTCCTCTTTACTTTGCCAAACACAGTAACCACACAGATTTGCAGCCATTTACCTTGTAGAAATAAGAATACATTTTAAGGTCCCAGTTACAACTCTGAATTCTTGGAAAGAAATTATGCACTGGATTTTCTGATAGCTTCCAAATAACTACTACTTTAATGAAATTGCTACCTGAAAATTCAGTAGCACTATTATTGTTTAACTATAATTTAAGAAGCTATCGTAGATTAGTTCTTATGACTTCTAATGAGGAAACCATAACAAACCTTTTAATTGAAGGGAAAATGGTTAACTACAGTAATTGCAATCAATAAGATTGTGTTAGTAGCATAAATATTTCTTCTCAAATAGCATTCCATACTCTCCTTAGCAGTATTTAAGGTTTGAAAGTGTAAAAAAAACTAATTAGAAATCCATTCATTATTTATAATACTAAAGCCTAGGTTCAAATTTGTAGGACCCAGAGTTGAGAGAGAACCACCACCGACCAAGCAAAATAAGACTTTGATTAAGAAGAAAAGTGAGACATGGGAAAACGGGCTTACCAATCACATAGGCCAGTAACAAGGCCAAAGTCACGGTGATTGCAGTGGCACTCAAGGCTGTACACTTCCAATTGCAGCACCTATAAGGTTTGTTAAAGGTAAAGGCAGGTCTGGAGAAGGTGCTTCTAGGAAGTGGCCTCGGAGGCGGCGAGTACACAGTATTGGACGTCAGAGGGTAGTTCTGACTGGTTGCACTGAAGATAGCGGAGGAACCAGATCCATGTTTAAACAGGAAATGTCTGTGATAAGGAAACAAAAATTTGGGCTTTTAGCAATGCAGTTGCTACAAAAACAGAATCTCCACTAATTTCAAATCATCAGAGGAACTGGGAGGGGCTCAAATCAATTTTAATGTACCTAAGATTTAGCTCCAAATTGCCCTTGGTGTCTCCCTCTTGTTTTCTGATTTTAGACCTTTAAGAAGAAGAAAGAAATTCTCCATTCCCTGCCTTTCTGGCTAGTGAATTTCTCACACTCTGAGCACTAATCTCCCGCATTTGATGTTATTTTCTATACTATTCTCTTTCATTAACTATGATACTCAAGAGTAGATTCAAAAACAGAAACATCATCAGGCATTTGGTAATTTGAATGGCCTAGAAACCAATATTTTATTTAGAGACTAGCTTTCACAGATATATTTTCATCCAATATTTTATTATAAAAATTGTCAAACATACAGATGTGAAAAATTTTTATATAATGAATAAACATACACTCACCAACTAGATTCTACAGTTAACATTGGACTCTACTCATTTTTTCAGATTTTTACCCTTCTCTACATTCCTATTTTCTTTATTTTTAAAAAAATATACTTTATTGATTTTTTACAGAGAGGAAGGGAGAGGGATAGAGAGTTAGAAACATCGATGAGAGAGAAACATCAATCAGCTGCCTCCTGCACACCTCCTACTGGGGATGTGCCCGCAACCAAAGTACATGCCCTTGACCGGAATCGAACCTGGGACCTTTCAGTCTGCAGGCCGACACTCTAGCCACTGAGCCAAACCAGTTAGGGCTCTACATTCCTATTTTCATCCATATGTCAGTCCATCTTAGATTCTAAGCATTTCAAAGTAAGTTGCATACATCAGTATACTCTTTTCACATATTTCAACTTGCATATTATTATCTAGGGTTTAATATTTTTATAGATTTTTAATATAGAATTTATACATGACAAGTTTGGCTTTTTTAGATTTCACATATAAGTGATATCATATAGTATTTGTCTTTCTAATTTATCTCACTTAGCATAATGTCCTCAAGGTCCATTCATGAATTTGTAAAAACAGACAGTAGAATGGTTACTGGGGCTCAGGGTCAGGGAATAAGAGAGACGTTTAAGGGTACAAACTTGCAACTAGTAGATAAATAAGTCCTGGAGATCTGATGTACAGAACAGTGAACACAGACAACAATATTGTATTATAGACATCAAACTTATTAAGAGACTACATCTTAATTATTCTCATCACAAAAAAAGAAATAATTCTGTGAAATAACTGAGGTGTTAGCTAACAATACAATGGCAATCATATTGGAATATGTAAATGTGTCAAATCAATGTGTTGCACACCTTAAACTTAGACAACATTATATGTAAATATATTTCAATTAAAATTATTCAGGATGAAATTCACAAATATTAAATGTACATTTACTGAGATTTGACAAATACAATAATCTGTGCAACCCAAACCCCTTTCAAGAGACAGAACATTTCCGTTACCCAGGACATTTCCTCCTACCTTTCTAAGTAAATCCCTGTCATCATCCTCCAGGGGCAGCCACTATTTTCTTCCATGCATTAATTTTGCCTGTCCTATAATTTCACTGTGTCTCATGTTTTAATTACTACAGGATAATTATTCACTGCTCATGACTATCGTAACATGGATATTTCATAAATAGTAGTACATGGAAGAAGTTGCCAAAAGCAAATAAGTGAAAGTATGTTTTTTTGGGGGGGAGGGGCACATACTTTCCACTTGTGGAGTGCTAACTGTCATGAGCTGTGTTAACACTCTATCTCAGTCTTTAGTCATATGAAATAGGCTACATTATCCTCATTGCACATTAAAGGAAATAGACGCCTAAAGAGGTTAAATGACTTCCCTAAATAAACCTAGCTAGTGAATGACAGCGAGAATAGGAACCCAGGTCATTCTGGCTCCAAACCCCTTACTCTTAATCACTCTACTGGGCCACTTGGGCAGTAAAATGCACTGCTAAAGCAAGCACATTGAAGTGCCACATGTTAATGTACTACAACATAAAACCTCTCCACTAGCAAAGAGCCAACATCACCTTGTACGTGTGCTATATGCCTCAAAGTATAAATCATCAAAATTATTTAAAGACTGGTTTCTAGCTTCCATTTTTAAAGAACAAAAGCATATATATATATATATATATATATATATATATATACTCTCTACCTTAATGAAAAATATTCACATTAGAGAATTTTGCTTTATGGAGGGTAACTTAGCATTACACATCAGAAGCTTTCAAATATGCATATTCTTTGGCCCAATAATTATGCCCATATGAATTTATCCTCAGGAATGATGTGTATGACAATGCATATAAGAATTCACTCATTGAAGTGTTATTTATAATAGCAAAAAACAAATACCCAAATGCACAGTAATAGGTATGTGGTTCAGTAAATCCTATCTAATTAAGAGGTAATATGCTAAGTGACCCTCATGCCATCGCAAAGATGGCAGTGCCCACAGCCAATAAGGAGGAAATATGCTAATTGACTGCCCTGCCCTCAAAGATGGCGGTGTCCACAACCAATAAGGAAGCGATATGCTAATTGACTGCCCCACCCTCAAAGATGGTGGCACCCACCGCCACAAGATGGCCAACAGGAGAGGGCAGTTGGGGGCAACCAGGCCAGCAGGGGAGGGCAGTTGGGGGTGACCAGGCCTGCAGGGGAGGGCAGTTGGGGGCAACCAGGCCTGCAGGGGAGGGCAATTGGGGATGACCAGGCCTGCAGGGGAGGGCAGTTAGGGGAGACTGGGCCAGCAGGGGATGGCAGTTGGGGGCAACCGGGCCAGCAGGGGACGGCAGTTGGGGGCAACTGGGCTGGCAGGGGAGGGCAGTTGGGGGTGATTGGGCTGGCAGCGGAGGGCAGTTGGGGGTGATTGGGCTGGCAGCGGAGGGCAGTTGGGGGCAATCAGGCCAGCAGGGGAGCAGTTAGGCGTCGATCAGGCTGGCAGGGGAGTGGTAGGGGGTGATCAGGTTGGCAGGCAGAAGAGGTTAGGGGCAATCAGGCAGGCGAGCAGTTGGGAGCCAGCAGTCCCAGATTGTGAGAGGGATGTCTGACTGCCAGTTTAGGCCTGATCCCACAGTGGGACATCCCCCGAGGGGTCCCAGATTGGAGAGGGTGCAGGCTGGGCTGAGGGACACCCTCCCTCCCCAGTGCAACAATTTCATGCACCGGGCCTCTAGTCTATATGTAAAAGGCTAATATGCAAAGTGTCCCCTCAGGAGTTCGACTGGGAGACAGAGAGTTCACTTGTTATGACATGTGCTGACCACCAGGGGGTGGCGTGGAACATGGCGGGCAACCAGCAGTGGTGGTGGGGTGCTGAGGAAGTGAGGGAAGGAGGAGGCGGGGAGGCAGGGAGGTGGGCGGGACCCTATGGTGGCGGTGCACGGGTGGTGAGGTAAAGAGGAGGTGGGGAGGCAGGGAACCTGATCAGCCCTGAATGCCAGCCAGCCTAGGGACTCTACCCATGCACAAATTTTGTGCACCGGTCCTCTGGTTCTTTTATAAATACATAGTAGAATACTATGCAGCATTACAAATTTTATTGTAAAAGTATATCTATTCACTAGAAAAAATCATTACAGATATCACCAAGTGTAAAAAGGTAGGCTTTAAGACAGTTTTGGCAATCTATATATATAAAAGCCTAAGCGACCATTACGACTGGTCGACTGAATGACTGGTTGACTGGTGGCTATGATGTGGACTGACCAGCAGGGGGTAGACACTCAACACAGGAGCTGCCCCCTGATCGTCAGTGTGCTACCACAGCCAACCTCCTGTGGCCAGCCAACCTCCTGTGGTCCCTCCACCCCGCCCCCCCCCCCGGCCCCGATTGGCCCAGATCGCTGGCCAGGCCGAGGAACCCCAAATTCGTGCACTGGGCCTCTAGTAGGATATACATTTTAAACTTTAAAAAGCATATATATATATATATATATATATATATATATATATATATGTATATCGAAAAATAATTTGTGTTCTAAGGGTATTTTAAAAAGTTTTATGCCTTGAGCTTATATTGCTTTTGGAACTAGTATCAAAGAGATTGGGGGTAGGGTAAGTGAAAAAAATTGTACTGGCTAACACCCACCATATGCCTAGTTGGTCCTATTTATGTGAACATGATTTACCGAGCACCTAAGAAGTCCAGGCATCAAAGTAAGTACTTTATATGCATTCTTTTGATCCTCATACATTGTAAGGTTGATACTATTATTCTAATCTTACAGTTGATGAGACAGAAGCCAAACGAGGTTTAGTAGGAGTAGAGTGGTAGTTGTAGTTATCATAAAGATAAGAAGAAGTTAACATTCATTAAATGCTTATTTGTGCCAGGCATTGCTCTAAACACTTCAGAGTATTTTATTTAATCTTCACAATGATCCTATTACCTAAGTTCTGCCAGATAGATAAGAAAACTGATGCACAGAGAGGTTAAGTAACTTGTCCATGGTCCCAAAGCTAGTAACTGGTGAAGCTGAGTTCCAAACCCAAGCAATTTCACTACAGAGCCATCCTCTTACCCACTACACTACAGTACACTATACTAGGGTTACGCAGTTAGTAAGCATATTAAGATTTCAATCCAGGCCTAAAAAGGCACAGAAGAAGCATGCTTGCTATTGATTTTGGCATATGGATAATACTGGATTGAGCCATGCTATTATATTAGCCTGTTCCTTTGGGACCAATGACAAAAATATGAGAATCAGAGTTGGAAGGAATCTCAGAAATCAATAGCCCAGCACCTCATTTTGCAGTTAGGTAAACCAAGGCCCAGAGAATAAAAGTGAATTACATAAAGGTAACATAGGTAGTCTAAAGGCATGAATGAACTTAGGATCTGGTCTCTTTCCAAACGGTGTATTTCCATTGGCCCACACTACCTGCCACCCACAGTCTCCACTGGATCAGCACCAGGTTCTAATCTCCTGGATTAATTGA